CCCACTGCACTCCAATCTGGGTGATAGAGTGAGACTCCAACTCAAAAAAGAAAAAAAAAAAAAAGAAAGGAAAACACATCTACACAAAAACCTGTATCTGAATGTTCATAGCAGCATTACTCATAATAGCCAAAAAGTGCAAAGAACCTGAATTCTACCAACTGATTAATGGATAAGTTAAATGTGGTAGATCTATTCACTGAAATATTATTCAACAATAAAAAGAAGTGATGTGTTGATACATGCTACAGTTTGCATGAACATTCAAAACATGCTAAGTGAAAAAAGTCACCAAAGATTACATATTACACGACTTCATTTATCTGAAACATCCACAGTAAGCAAATTTATAGAAACAGAAAGCAGATTAGGGATTTCCTGGAGCAATAGAGGTTATTGGGAAATGGAGAATGACTGCCAGGGGCTCCAGGGTTTTTGTTGTTTTTTGTTTGCTTTTTTGAGTTGGAGTCTCACTCTGTCACCCAGGCTGGAGTGCAGTGGCACACTCAGTCACTGCAACTTCAACCTGCTGGGCTCAGGCAATCCTTCTGCCTCAGCCTTCCAAGTAGCTGGAATCACAGGCGCGCACCACCACACCCGGCTAATTTTTTTATTTATTGTAGAGACGAAGTCTTGTCGTGTTGCTCAGGCTGATATCGAACCCCTGGGCTCAGGCAATCCTCTTGCCTTTGCCTCCCAAGGTGCTGAGTTTACAGGCATGAGCCACTGCACCCAGCCCCAGGGTTTCTTTATGGGGTAAAGAAAATGTTCTGAGATGTATTATAGTGATGGTTGTATAACTCAGGAGTATACTAAAAACAACTGAATTGTATACTCCAAATGAGTGACTTGTATCTCAATAATGCTGTTTTAAAAAGATAATCTAAAGTAAAATAATAACAATGTATTATAGAATGTACTTCATATTTAGAATCAAAATGCAACAATAGCACAAAGAATAGAAAGAAGAAATTGAAATATCCTGCTATAATTTCTTGCATTTTATGTGGAATGCATAATACTGTTTGAATGTAGACTATGTCAAAGACATGTATTGTAACCCCTAAAGCCACCACTAAACATTTAAAATAAAGAGGTATAGCTAATAAGGGAATAATGACTATAAAATAGATTTTAAAATTCTCAATCTGAAAGAAGACAGAAGAAAATAAGAAAATAACAAAGGACAGAAAAAAAATAGCAAGATGGTAGGTTTAAACCCAACGTTCTTGATAATTACAGTAAAGACTAAATAATCTAATTAAAGGCAGATAGTGTCAGATTAGATTAAAAGTAAGTTTCTACAATATGCCACCTACAAGAAACACACTTAAAACAAAGGTGAACATAGATATAAAGTAAAATAATGAAAAAAGACATACCATGCAATCTCTAAAGAAATTTAAATGGCTATATTAATAATAAAGTACACTTCAGCAAAAGGAATATTAACAGCAATAAAGGAGGGTGTCACATATTAGAAAAGGAATTTAATCATTCAGAAGACATAATCCTATGTGTACATGCACTCAATCGTAGAGTTTTAAAAGATCTGAAGCATACAAAGGAAAAATGAAGCAGGAAAAAAAAAAGTACCTGAAGCAATAACTGACAGAATTGAAAGGAGAAATAGCTAAATTCTACAACTAGAGTTGAAGATTTCAACCTTCCTCTTTCAGCAAATAATAGAGCAGATAGGCAAAAATAAAATCATAAGAATTATAAGATTTGAATAATACTGTTGACAAATTACCTAGTTGACATTTATTTATTATTGGAGATTTCAACATGCCTCTCTCAGAAAGTCATAGAACATTTAGAGCAAATAAACCTATAAGGAAAAGTAAAGATATAAAAGTGTCTTTCAGAAAAGACTACCAATTTGACCTAATTGGTATTTATAGAACACTTCACCCAACAGAAGCAGAAGACACAGTCTTTTCAAGTGCACACAGAACACTTACCAAAATAGACCATATTCGTGACCATAAAACAAGTTTCAGTACATTTAAAAGAACTGAAATAATAGAAACTTGTTTTTGACCACAATGGAATTAACTAGAAATCATAACCAAAAAGTATATTTTAAAAGTCCCCAAATATTTGGAAACTAAACACCTATGATCAATACCATGGGGGCAAAGAAGAAACCACGGGGAAATAAAAAAGTATTTAGAACTAATTGAAAAAGAAAGCACAACTTGTCAAGTTTGTGAGATGCAGCTAAAGCAGTGCTTAGAAGAAATAAAAACACAACTTCTCATATATGAAAAAAGAAAAACCTCAAATCAGTAATCTAAGCTTCTACCTTAAAAACACTTAGAAAAAGAAAAGCATATTAAACCTGAATAACCAGAAGTAAAGAAATAATAAAGACAAGAGGAAATTATTGAAAGAGAAAAAAATTTTTAAATTGACAAAATGAATACAACTCAAAACTGGTTCTTTGACAAAATGATAAACTTCTTGCCCAAGGATTGGTTACATTTTCTATAAAGGGTCAGATACTAAATAGTTTAGACTCTGTGGACCATACGATGTACTCACCTAACAACTACTCAATTCTGCTACTGTACCATGAAAACAGGCATAGGCAATACATAAATAAATGAGCGTGACTGTGTTTCGGTACATTTTATTTTCAAAAATAGGCATCGGTATGGACTTAGTACAACAGTTGCAAACGTGCCCATCTTTACTCTAGCGAAACTGATGAGAGAGAGAGAGAGAGACAGAGGGATAGAGAGGGAGAGACCGAGACAGTGAGAGAGACAGAGACAAAGAGAGAGGGCGAGAGACAGAGACGGACAGGCAGGCAGGCAGACAGGAGAGCCCGCCAATGCTGTAGGAAGATTCCTCCTCCCTCCACGGGGAAATGTCTGCTGGGGGCTCTGAAGACACCTACCCGCCCGTTCTCTGTCTCTTGACATGCCATCAGGATCACCTAGACAAGGAGGGCAAGTGGAGACGGAGGTGACTGGGATTAGGAGACCAGGGAAACGCGACCCAGGGGGATGCTCGGAACGCTGGCCGCATCCCACCTCCCCCAGTGCTGACCTTGACTCTAAACTCCCAGACCAGTCGCCAGAAGTCTAGCAGGGTGTGAGGCAGGGGTCCTTGCGTGGCGATGTAGGCCTGGCTTCCGTCCGCACCCTGCGCAAGGCCGCATTCACTACCAAGATGCCACGGCCCGCCTCCGCCACCCCGAGCCCGGCCCGCTCCCTGACCGAAGCCTGACCCGGATAAAGTTGCCATTGATGTAGTCGCCATGCCCCTCTTCCCGGAGCAGGGAGAGGACCACGCGTGTCTGATCGTCTGCAGCGGGGAAAGGGAGAAAGTGGAGTTTGGGGGTGACAGCGTTGCCAAGGCCCTGACATCAGCCCAGCACGGGGGCGGCACCCGGCTGGGATCCCCCAGGAGGGGCGACTGGGGTGCGGAGGGTGTCGCGGTGCGCCCGGACGGGCGCCGGGGCGCCTGCGGGCGGCAGGGAC